ATCTAAAGTTATTAGAGAAAAAAATATGAGCACACACTAGCAGGTACTGGACCAGCAGTCCATTTGTGACGAGCCGAACAGTGTCAGAAAAACACTGATTTGTAACATGAAACTGCTTTATTAAATGTTTTTGTGGTTCAAATCACCAAATCTTTTTGATTAGGAGAGGAAGAGACCTCTGCTAATAATTCGGTTCCCAGTAGAAACCTTCTGAACAATGAACACTGAAGGAATCCTAACCAGGAGTTCATGCTTGGCACATGGGAGAAGTTTTAGCTGGTTGTAATCTACAATCTTCACCACTAGATGCCGCTAAATCCTACACACTGCCCCTTCAAGCCGCTGTGGTTGTAGGCTTCAGTGATACTGATAGTGGACACAATATTACAGTAAATCTACCACATTTTGACTTTCTATACCTGTGTGCGGTTTATCACAGCATTTCATTAACGCCACTGTGTGCTGCATTTGTTAAAGTCTGAGGTGGAGTTTAAAGGAACATTTTTCTCTCCAGGTGGCATGCAGGACTGGAACTATGTTAACACCAACTGTTTTGAGGTGACCATCGAGCTGGGCTGTGTCAAGTACCCCTTGGCCAGAGACCTGCCAAAATACTGGGAAGAAAACCGACGAGCGTTGCTTCAGTTTATACATCAGGTATGAAACACAAATCTGAACATTACACTGAGCTCTCTCCTCTCTTTAAGACAAGTCAAGTCACCTTTGAAACACAAACAGAGTTGAGCTAAAGTGCTATTATAGTACACACAGAGAAAGCAAAAACAAACGTATCAAAACCTGTATCCTTGTTGTTTTTTCCGTACTCAGTTTTGCATCTGCTCATGTTTATGTGGCTGTGTGTCTCTGTAGGTTCACACTGGAGTAAAAGGCACAGTCTCTGACATTGGGGATGGCACAGGAATTCCCAATGCCACCATTAGTGTGGAGGAGATAGACCACAACGTCACCACGGCTCATACTGGAGACTACTGGAGACTGCTGGCCCCTGGGACTTACTCCATCACTGCCTCCGCCCATGGGTAACATTTAGATTTCAGAAACAAGAACCAACTAAGAATTTATCGTGAAGTTTCTATATATGTCTGTGCCATAATGTGCCCTTATTTTCAGTGCTATAAACTGTCTCTGTTGTCCAGTTATAAACCAGTGAGGACCTATGCCACAGTCCCAAAGGATGGAGTAGAGGAGGTAGACTTCAGACTGACACGTATACACTCAGAACCTAACGGCCAGTCTCCCAAGGGCCCACCGCCCACAAGTACCCCATCTGAGAAGGAGTTCCAGAGCTTAATCAAGGACCTGTCTATAGGCCAGGGTTTGGAGCAGCTGGTCAGAAGCACAGCCGCAGAGAACAGCTTCCGCTACAGACGCTACAAAGAGCTGTCCGCCTTTTTGAGAGGCCTCACACTTAACTTTCCCAAAATTACATCCTTACACAGGTAGGAAGATTCTTCTCATCCTCTGTATGCCAAAAGTCAGTGGTGTTCAGATCTGCTCTGTGTTTTATAACTTTAGTTACCTCTCTTATTTTCTGGTTACTTCCCTTCTGTGTTCAGTTTGGGCCAAAGTGTAGAGTTTCGAACCATCTGGGCTCTAGAAATCTCCAACAAACCAGGGAAGGCTGAACCATCTGAGCCCAAGATCCGTTTTGTAGCAGGGATCCATGGCAACGCCCCAGTGGGCACAGAGCTGCTGCTGGAGTTTGCTGCCTTCCTCTGTATCAACTATGGGAAGAACCCAGCCATCACCAGGGTGAGTTTTGGGGTGTATAGAGTAGTAAATTTTTTTCATAGGAGTATATTCACTCTGAGAATTTTGCACTCTTTTCATATCTGCGATTGTCCCAGTAAACACAGTGTATTACTCAGCCCTGTCTGTAACTGTTTGCTCTCTGTTTCCCAAGCTGATCAATGAGACCCGGATTGTCATCGTTCCTTCTATCAACCCAGATGGACGAGAGCAGGCTGTTGAGAAGCAGTGCACCTCCACTCAGGGCATGACCAACACTCATGGCAAGGATCTGGACACAGATTTCTTTGGTCAGTTGTATGGAGTTGTGTGTGTGCAACTGAAGTGAGAGAGAGACACCGATGCTATGTTCACACTGCTATCGACAGTGTGGCTTAGCTACATAATCACTTGTTGAAGTGCTGCTTAAGCGCTATGTGTGTGCTACTTGGATTGTGTGGTACAAAAGTGGGTTGCGGGTGCGTTGTAAATGGACTGCAAGTGACTCGCAAGTGAGTAAAGTTTGTAAAAAACACTTTGTTTTGGAGGACAGTGAATTTCTGACACAGAGCTTTTATTTTGAAAGGCTGTTTCCTGCTGTAGAGTGAGTGACTAATGGTTCATGGTTCATTCATGTCACCAGCTTCGACTGAAAATGACTTGTAGCTTGTTGCTGTGTCGCTTGTAGCGTGAACACAGCATGACAGAAGGGAAAACGATTCCATCAACTTTTTCATGCTACAGTTGTTAACGAAGAGTTGTGAATGTCACAAATACACTTGCTATAAAAAGCTAAGCATGCTCTAACATTTCCGGTCCACCATGTGTTTTCCTCCTTTTCTAGGAAATGCATCACAGCGTGTGGTGGAGGCCCAGCCAGAGACCAGAGCCATGATGGACTTGATTCTAGACAAGAGCTACACTCTGTCTGTGGCCCTGGATGGAGGCGCCCTTGTGGCTACCTACCCTTACGACAAGCCTGTCCAGTCTGGTAGTTTTCCTCACAGTCTACAGATTACACACAGACGCTGAAGAGCAGCAGTTTGTGAAGAGTAGGACAAATGATGCTCCATCTTGGCTGTGTGGTTTCATGTACCCTTTCTGTTTTTTGTAGTTGAAAATGAAGGCACGTTGAAGTACTTGGCAAGTGTTTATGCCAACAACCACCCTAAGATGCACCTCGGGGACACCGGATGTTCAAATAATGGGCAGAGTACGTAGTTTAAGTACCATGATTAATCACTGTTGTCATGTTGGTATTGAATCAGTCATTAATAAGCTAACGGGACTTTTCTGTGACGCAGTGGGAAACATCCCAGATGGAGTTATGAGGGCAGCAGAAAGACAAAGTCACATGGGGAGCATGAAGGTAAGTCTCTCCACTTCAGTGTCTGTGAGAGCAGTTTCTGCATTTCAGTTGGCATCCTCACTGCCTCTATGAAGTATTTGGGTTGTTGTGCAAAATGTTAACGAGATCCTGAATATTACACATAATATTATAAAATTAGTTTGGAAATATCTGTCACATGAAAAGTCAAAGCAAAGCCAGAAATGGTCTTCGCCCCCAGTGCTGTCTCACGAGTCTTCTTGTGTCTACGTGCCCTCCCAGGATTTCAGCATGGATTTTGGCCACTGTCCAGAGATCACAGTGTACAGCGGCTGCTGTTTATTTCCTCCTGCTGAGCAGCTGGCCACACTCTGGGCTGAAAACAAGAAGTCTCTCCTAAGCATGTTGGTGGAGGTATGATTCAGGATTTTCTCATGGAGATGTTTAGCAGACTTTTTTATTTGCACGACTACATATATACATTAGTGAGTGCTATAGCATTAAAGGGGCAGTTCACCCCAAAATCAAAATTCATATTTTTCCTCTTACCTGTAGTGCTGTTTATCAGTCTAGATTTTTTTAATGTGAGCTGCTGAGAGCTGGAGATATTGGCTGTAGAGATTACTGCCTTCTCTCCAATATAATGGAACTAGATGGCACTCTGCTATGTGAGCTAGCAGTAGATGCACTCTTCTTTCTGTGCAATGATACAGTTGGTGGGTTAATTTCAGTAGAAGGAAAATAATTCCTACATGAAACTGCTCACAACAAGGTGTGTGGATTATCTTGAGTAACTGGGTCATGGTTTCTGAAAAGAGAAATCACTTTTTTAATGTATTTTTTGGCACTTTGAGCACCACAAGCTAAGTGCAATCTACTTCTAGTAAACTGAAGAGAGGGCAGACATCTTTACGGACTCGGCCACTCACACTAAAACAATCTAGATTGATAAATAGCACTACAGGTAAGAGGGAAAATATGGATTTTTGATCTTGTTGTGAACTGTCAAATAAGTGTTTAAAGACTCAAATGAAGGATTTAAGATTAATTAAACTTTATTATCATTCAGCCTTAATTTGCCCTCCATTTCTGCCTCATCCAGGTCCATAAAGGGGTGCGCGGCGTGGTAAAGGACAAGAGTGGAAAGCCTATTGTTGGGGCGATCATTGTGCTGAATGGGGGAGTGAGGGTGTTCACTACAGAGGGCGGCTACTTTCATGCGCTGCTGGCTCCTGGTAACCACAACATTGAAGCTGTTGCTGATGGCTACCAACAACAACGTCAAGAGGTACGCGGCTCTATACACACCGCATACAATGCTGTCTAGGAATGTACTAGCTTTCAGGAAGATAGCCATGATGGGATGTGTGTGTAATTTATAGTTTGTTATCACTTGAAAAGCATACAAAATGGAGATGGGAAAAAAGTTAAATTAATTAATTTATCTCAGATCAAATCAAAAACATAGACAAGGCCTATAAAAGTGAACATTTTAAAGATGTGACATTTATTGGTGATAATAGTGCTGAGTAAAAGAAGAGACTCACACTGTCTTGTCTTGTTTTTAATATTGATTTTTATGATAAAATGTTAGAAAGGAGAAATAGGCTGTGCCTTGGTTGCAGCCACACGTGCGCTGTTGAACATGTGATGATCCCAGACATAGAGCACAAACAAATCATTTGATATACTGAGCACTTAAAAGGCAGATTCAATCCCTTAAATTCACAGATTTTGGCTTCATAGGCTTTGCATCTTTTTAAACTGTTTAAAAAGAGGAGTTTTATTGTAGATGTCAAACATTTGACGTCTTTTTTTCAAGAAACATTTGTAACATTAATTCAGCTGCTACATTACATGTCAAGGAAAACAGAAATTGTCTTAATAAAGTGTCAAGAGACGTAAATAAAATAGCACACTCGTGTTATAGAAAGTCACTGGGAGCACATTACTGTGGTTCCCCTTTAATGTCTATATGTATGAAGGGTGTAGGGCGGAGTACACAAAATCTCTCCATGACCTCCACCTTTCCATTTGGCTGCTCTGAAATCTGAAGCGTCGGGTAGGCCAGCTCTTTAAACAGATGCTCCTTAATGTTACGGCCCAGCTCCAAACTGTAGGCTGCGAGCTTCCCACACGGCCTGAAGAGCAGCGGATCCACCACTGAGTGATATGTCTGCTGGTACTCTGGTACTGTGAAGCCGTGGATCATCAGAAGTCCTGGCTGGCTACTTGACACGCTGCTGGAGGCCCTCTCTTCAGCAGCTAGGACTCTGTCGCTGTGGGGCAGGTTGAGATCTGGAACAATGGCAGCGTTCCTTAAATACCTGTCATGTAGTGGTTTATGGGAGTCTACTTCACTCTGCCCACACACAATGTCCAAATCATAATTTGTGGCCAGCACTGGTTTCCTCTCTTTAATAGTCTCCCCATATTTCTTAGGACATTGAATACTCTGCCGCAGGCCATAGGGACGCATTTCATTCCTCTGGAAATTAAAGTGACATTAGTAACAGTGGATTCAGGGGCCTCTGTCAGAAAACAACCAGCAAACCATATTAATAATGAGAAACAGGAAAGAAATTAGGATCAAGAGGTTCACTTACTCTTTGACAACAACTCTTTGGGTGTGTTCAGGCCACATTACTGAATCAGGTCTGGAACCACTTGGTTTGAAATCCTTGCTTCTGGAGCTTTGGGTCTAGTTTCCCCATTTTTTCTGCACTTAAACTGCACTTAAACAATGACTAAGACACACTTCACACTTGCTATGGAGAAAAGTCAACCAACTTACAAGTGAAGTCTGAGATCCTTGTAATTTACCTCTTTGAAGATTGCTGTGTAATTAAGGATTTTTATGAGCCAAGGCTTGGGCAACCTGCAGTAGATTATACTGAGCAGTCACACCTGCAAGTGAGGCCTGCTAATTAGGTAATGAACAACCTCACTTCTGCAGGGAGCTTTGTTTCACCTCCATGTGGAGAAACAGCCAGAATGGATGAGCTGATGTGGTAGAGCTTGATATTTTCTTAATGTTGTTGCACTTTGAGTTTTGTGAAGAGTTATTTAACAAGTAAAGTAATAAAACAGTCTATAGTCAGTAGCTACACCTAAACTATCCCACTGTGAGCATGTTTCAGGAAGGATCAGAGGCCTATTAAGAGACTTTTGCTGTGTTGCAGGTGGTGGTGTCGTCCTATGAAGCTGCTCGCTCCATCATCATTGAGTTTGACATGGATAACAGCATCTTTGGCCTGCCCAGAGAGTTTGTGGTGGCCAGTGCAGGTAAGCATGTCTATGAAAACGTCTTTTGTAACAAGTTAAGACTTTATGCATGATGTGACTCGTCCACATGTAAACACAATGTTAATCCTTTTGGGTACTGCGATGTCCTCAAACTGTATTTTCATGTTTTGATTCAGTGTTGCTAAATATCTTAAATGGTTACCATGCTTTGTTGCTCTTATGATGCAACACTTGTGAGTGATAAAAGTCTAAAATCAACCAGTCCCTCCTCTTTAATGGTTTTATATCCATTTAGTATGTTAGTTTTGAGATCTTCAACACAGATAAAATGCACTCAATAACTGATTCCTTTTCTGAGATACTGACAACGAAATAATGACAGTATTTTTACAGGTCATGTAAACGGCATATTCTGTTTTTGATTTTCCGAATTGGGCCTTATTCCCCACTGAAATATTTTCAGATAAGAAGTGGAATATGCCGGTATTAATCGGGTTTTAGGAGAATTCTTTGGATCTGTTTACAGCGCGTTCGGGTTATGCATCCCAAAGGGAATTTTAAAAGCAGTTTGTGTCACACGGCCTCTTGCCTGTTTACTTGAAACTGTTTGAGTTGTCATGGATATGTTGTACACAATCCAACTTGCCAACAGTTTGCAAAGCAGGGGTAGAGATGCATGGTTAAAAGAGAGGCCCACGTTTTTGGCTGGAAGGAGAAACTTACCTACTATATGCAAATATGACAATATTGACCTTTTCAAGACGGTGGTTGCAGGAATGAAAGAGGGAGACTGTGTTTGCACGGTCAAACATGTCCACCACCGGTGGAAAACTTTTGAAAAAATCTTTTTTTTTTTTTTTGATGCAAAGTAGCAGAAGCATCTCCAGCTGTTCCACTTTTCTATTTTTTGACGTGATAAACAACATGTTAGGGCACTTTAATCGGCGTATGCACGGCTGCATGTAATCAGGAGTATTAGTGTTATATTCAGGAATTTTCTTTTGTTGACACGGTTGTCAGTGTTACGGATCTTTGTCATTGACAACGGAGAACAATCTTATGTTTACTGTGCTTAATCATCAAAACAAAAGATTAAAGATGACTCAGCTTTTAGCTCTGTGATGGAATGCTTCTTTAAAGTCTTTTAGTGTTCTCCCAGCTAGAGACTGTGTGCAGACTTGCTGAGTCTTGTATATCTCTTCCTCCTCACAGCGGCCTCCATGACAGCGTTGGTGGTGACGGCGTGCATCATCTGGTGTGTGTGCGCAGCCAAGTCTAATCGTCAAAAAGATGGCTTCCACCGCTTGCGACAGCACCGAGACGATTACGACGATGAGATCCGGCTCACCTCCATGGGCTCCAAGAAGTCGCTGCTCGCCCACGAGTTTCAGGATGAGAGCGAAAGCGATGAGGAGACACTGTACGCCAACAAAATCTGAGAACAATTGCACCGATTCTGCCGTTGGCTCAGTATTTTATTTTGATCTCCCCCTTAAATTAAACCAACAAGGAACAGACTGAACTGTAGACAGCATCTGTCTCTCTTTATGACGAAGATATGAGTGATAGAGACACTTTGTTCTGTTATACCAACGAGCTCTATGGACTCACTCCCAGTCACTCAGTTATTAGTGCTACTAAATTATTACTTTTAAGAGCATCCTGCTGATGTCTGGACTGAAGGGCTTGCTCCATCTCTACCTGACTGGATCAGGAGAAAAGACAGAGAAGGTGATAAGAAGAGGGAGGGAGAAATAAAGGTTTGGTCCACTGTGGCCCTCATCCGTCCTTCTGTAGCAGGTTTTGAGTTCCGCAGCTTTTTCCATTTCCGAGCCATGCAAGAGTGCTCTGTTAGACCACTACCTGTCCTGCCTGGCTGAGGGGTTCCAGCCATAAAGTCCAAATAAACTCTTGTTTAGTGGATGTGTAATGAACTCTGGATGGAAGTGCTATATCTCACACAATCTCCCCGCTGATATCTCGCATTTCTCAATACTGCTTTGAGCTAGGAAATCAGAAATGTTTCTTTTATCTATGACAGAATCGCCACATTGAAGTGTCCGAGCCTTTAGGAGACTGAATCCAACACTGTGCCTTGGCTTCTGTAAAGTTTACAGTCCCGTCGGGCTATAGTATGTGACAGAAAGCAGCAACATAGCATAGAGCGAATAGATAATATTTGATCCGTCCTATACTCAGGTGGTAGGAAGAGAGAGAAATTCTGATTTTAAATGACTGCTGAATTACAATGTTGCACTGTTTCTGCACAGGTGACTCCAGGCTGGCTGGCCTGGGTTCAGCAGTTTTGTATTTTTCCAGTGAGTAAATGTGGCCAGAATCATCATCATCACCATCATGGGAGCAAGTTTCTCAAAAGCTTTAAAGCATCAGGGAGAATCTGTTACCAATGAAATGCTTGAATGAAACCCTTACTCAGAAAGTGCGGGGTGCTCTAATGTATGCATGGAGGTCACTTGCACTAAAATGGAAAGCAAGGATCGTCCCATATCATTGGCCCAGAAAGAAATCTCTAAATATGTAATCATAAAACAAGAATGTATTTTGTTGCTTTTCCCTTTTTTGTTTTAATTATAGGTTTGTTGTAGGATAAACTGTCTGTACATGGAAAGTTACTGCTTACTTTCGTCGCATGTCGCATTGAGTCTGTGCCCTGTTTTTGATCCGAGGATGTGCATTCTCACCATGTCTCATAACGAGGATTATCAGTTTTGTTGTTTGAATGTGTTTATTCAGTCTTTATTCCTCCACTAAACAGTACTGAAGAGTGCAGAAGTCAGACTACGTTTGTCCGTCCATTACTGATCACTGTCCAGGAATCAACCATGCTACATGGTTTAAAGATCCAGTGCAAAGAAATCCACATTTTCCAAACTCATTGTAAAACAAAAGGCATATAGATCATAATCCATGCGACCAAAATGTGGTTGAAAGCTGCAAAAATTAATCAAATGGGAGTTTCAGTTGAGACTGAAGTCACACAGAGGTTTAAAGCTACTCAGTACATAACTATGTGTGCGTAAATATAATTGCAGGGTTCCCACAGTCGTGAAATTCTTGGACAAGTTAGGAAATTAAAACAAAAATGTCTGACACTAAAATCTCGTGCTGCACTGTTTGACCATTGAAATGTTGCTAGTATCACATGATACACAGTGCATGCAGCTTGTTAGTGGAAGTGCAGGTAGTAGTGGGTGTTTAATAATTTAAGGCTTCCCAACGACAAATGTAACACAACTCCAAAGAGGAGCAGACCCCATTTGGAATTGTGCCCTTCTTTAAATCGCTTGTTGTCAGAGAGGTGTCCAGGCTATTTCAAACTATTTAAAGCCATGGAGATGTTGTAAAATATGGAAAAGTAATGGGAAAGTTTGTTACACTCGTTGGTAAAAATGTGTGGGAACCCTGTAGTAGCCAGTTTTAAGGGACACGGTTGCCTTGACGATAATGTGACAATAAGCCGTTTTTCATTTCTCTCATTTGTTAAGAAGCTCATAAGTCATTGTGTGGCAACATTTACATGGCGTATATGCACAAATCAGGGGAGCAGTAAGGTGAAGAGTCATTAGAGGAAGAAAAACTGTTGTTAATCCTGTCTGACATGGCATAAAATTGAACTTGAAGCATCTTCTAGCGTATGAGGTGAACTTCAAAAAACCAAACTTGTGGTTATCTTTGCTTTGGATCTCCATGTGTCGACATCCCCAGCTGAATAAAAACTGATGCACTGGATCATTAAAATCAGATGGCTCTTAAAGTAGGAATGCCGTGCATGTTTTTCATCACGTTTGAAGGAATAGACACACTTTAATAATTTGCCTTGATTTCCACTCACTTTAAGAAGATATTCTTTCCTCCTTCTTTTAACAAAAGCAGCTGTCATCAGTTAAGTTAAACCTGATTTCTGTGTAGAGAGACAGTTTTGTATTTTATTTTTCCTTTCTTATACCGTGTCTGTGAATGTGTGAGTATGAATTCTGAGAGGTGAGCGTGTGTCAGGGTCACGCAGTGTTGGTGTGAAGATTTTATATGAAATAGAATCGGCTGTAAATAATGTTTGCCAATTGTGAATGGGAAAATAAATGCAATATGTGTTAACCATTAATCTACACACGAAACGTTTAATAAAAGCCTCTGTGTGATCATGACATGCTAACATGCACAAAATCTCATGAGACACAATGAAATAAAACCTCTCACAGCGTCTCTCCTGCGTCTGTGTTGCATTGTGCTGTTTGTAATAACTGGGGGGTTTGGGTGACGCTGTGGTACAGAGGGTCAAACAGGTTGTCATTTAATTGTTCGATCCCGGCTCCTCCTTTCTACATGTCAAAGTGTACTTGAACAACTGAACCTCAAATTGCAGTTGATGGCCAATATAGGAGGATGTACACATGGGTAAAAGAGAGGCATTGCAAAGTATTTTGTCCTACGAAGTGCCATGAAGGTGTAGCTCATTTACCAATATAGTGTGACCTCAGTCGGTGATACAATGAGAGGCCACATTGGGAATTTGTGATGCCAAAAATGCACGAGTAAAATAAAAGCGAAACTCTTTAACCATGGTTATATCATCTTGAAACATTTGATCATCCTTTTATTTTTTCAGTATTCATGAATAAAATGTGGATGCTCGTTATTGGACCAAATGGGCAACAGTGTGTGTGCTACCCTACCATACTATTAGTATTGAAACAATATGAAAGAATGATCAGTTCAGTTACAGTCTTTTGACAAACTGCACAGTTATATTCACTGCTCATTATACATGATGCAATATTAACATTGTCAACCTGGGTTTCTCCTTTAACATCTCTCTGAATGGTGTCAAACAGTGGTGCAGTGGTAGTTGATGAAGTGGGTGTACTGCCAGGTTAGCAAAAAGGGGTGGGTATTCTGTTCTATGTATTCCAATGGCTTTTTGGCTGATAGGTGGGTTTACTGTCATGGGCGGGTTATAAGAGAATGGGACCCAGTCCAGTAATAGCAACATGGAGGATTGCATTGGTTTCCGGCAAGCTTTTGTTCTGCTCTAAAAGATTTGTTTCTATCCAAAAAACAAACACTGACCAACTATGGTATTAATAACAAGAAGATGTAGACTGTTAGTGCAATACTCCATCCTCTCCTCCCAACCTGAAGAATCTGGCATGCCCACTGATGTTGTCACAGTTCACACTTAAGGTCAAGAAAAAAACACATTATTTTGGTTCCAGTTGAGAACCAACATTTTGGGTTCTGAAGTACTTAGTTTTTGTCGAAAATGCTTCAACAGTTCAAACTTAGTGAGGGAACCAGAATGGAACCAGCTCCATGTTGGTGGAAAGGGGTTACTGTGGTCATTTCAAGTCTCTTACTGCTGGTTACATTTTAATCTAAGTGACGTTTTAATTTAAGAAGTTGAGAGGGTTGCGAGCTTTAAGTCCCTGGGGGTGCACGTAGCTGAGGGTCTGACCTGGAGTCTGAACACATCCCACATCATCAAAAGAGCCCAGCAAAGGATGTTCTTTCTGAGGACCCTGAAATGTAACAAGCTTCCTCAGGAACTTCTGATCCACTTTTACCACTGCACAATTAAGAGCATAATAACATACTGCTGTTCTGAGTGATAAAAAAAAAAAAAAGACCTGGAGTGAGTTGTCAAGACGGCTGAGAGGATCATCGGCATCCCCCTACCAAACCTTTGTGACATCCACTCAGGCCGTCCTCTCACATGATAGAATTTCATTGTATTCATTCTATCATATATTTTATAAAGACAGATATGAATGTGTGTGTATGTGATTGTTAGAATGATGCAATGAGCGGATGTGTGCTGGTGAATATGTGAGGGTGTTGGTGCATGTGTAAACGTTTATATGCTGCTAACTGGATTGCTCCAACAAAGTATCGCTGTATAACATACAGTGAAACTGCAGCTGATGGCCAAGGGGCCCCCTGTCACTTTGGGCCACTGGGCCTGTGCCTGGTAGGGTAAAGTCAGGGTACAAAAAAACACAAAAGTAACATTCAAAATTTCATAATAAGACAATATACATATATAACACACTATGTATCTGCATGTTCAAGACTTCACAGTAAATTAAAAACATAACTGTAACCTAATACATGAAACTTGCTCTCTTGTGCTCTTTTTTGTTTACCTGATTGTTTGTCCTTTCAATTTTTGTTGCTTTTTTTGCTTATGTTTGTGCTGTAGCATCATTTCGACCATTGCTGCTAATTTCTTTCACCCTTTAACTTGTATTCTCCAACTTGTTCTGTACATTCTCCTTATGATAAATTACGGAAGTGTATTGCATTCACTTGACAAATAAAAAAAAAGCCCTGTTTTTCTGAGTATTTTTTTCTGTTTTTCGGAGTAATTTATTTATTTTTCTGTTTTTTTTGGTGTAATTTTTTTCTGTTTTTCTGAGTAATTCTTTCCCTGTTTTTCGTGGTATTTTTTTTGTTTTTCTGTTTTCCCACCTGGCACCTACAAGTGACCGGTGCCTGCGTAAAGTCCACAAACTAATGATAACACCATCTATATGACTTAAAGACAAGAGTATCTCCCAGTGTCTCAAACCCAAAACAAAGTAAAACTGGATTAAACTAAAGAAGCGGGTCATGTTTGCTTCCATTATATCGAGCTCTCAAGAAAGGAATGAAAGCATCTGTTGTTCTATTGCTCTCCTAACTCAGAAAAAAAATACTCAGAAAAACAGAAAAAAATACCCCTCAAAACAAAAAAAACACGAAAAAAAGAAACAAAATTACCACGAAAACCAGAAAAAAAAGTACCAAAAAAAACCCCAGAAACAAAATTACCACGAAAAGCAGAAAAAATTACACCGAAAAACAGAAAAATAAAAAAATTACTCCGAAAAACAGAAAAAATTACCCAATAAAACTGATTTTTTTAATTTGTCAAGTGAATGCAATACGCTTCCGTAATAATTAAAAGAAAATAAATAAAAACTTTTTAAAAACTACTTGAAAATTATTGTGAAGACCCAGATGACCTCTAGATGGCGCTGTTTCTCAGCTTGTGTCTAGCACGTGTGTGTTACCTGAGAGGCTCAGCTGAGGGCGATAAAAACGCGGCATTGTTTTTTAAGTGGAACGTCTTCTGCTGTCACGTGACGCAACCCGGAACTTGGTGATGTCGCAGGACAACAAAGATGGCAGGAATAGGAGGCAGCAACTACTGGGAAGGTAAGGGAGCCAAATTAGACTCGATTAAAGACAAGATAATGCAAAGCAACGTCTAGTACTCTACTTTAATATCACCTATTCACTTGCCAGTGTTACTGTCGGCGCGTGTCCGTGGCTCAAACATGTACGTGTCTCTACAACGACTAGCCAGCAACAAGCTAGCTAACACATCGTCATGTAAATTAGCGTTATTCCTTAAGCTGTTAAATCTGTGTCGCCACACTAAACGGTTTACCAACTGGACACAGGAGTCCGCTGTGCCAGCTGTTACACATATTACATTATAATTTAATTAGTAGAAACCATTTTCTTCCTTGTCCCCTCGGTCGAAGTGTTGATGTAAGTTAGCTCCTTCAGCTCACTCCAGTGGTACAAGTTAAAAGCCTTGGTGTTTGCCTTGGCAACAAGCTACAATGACACGTTGGTAAGTGGTAAAATATTCTTTGTGTGATCCCATGTTATAGATCTGCGAAAGCAGGCCAGACAGTTGGAGAATGAACTCGACCTGAAGTTGGTCTCCTTCAGTAAACTGTGCACCAGCTACAGCAGCTCCAGGGATGGACGTCGAGGAGGAGACACGTAAGATCAGTCACACCTGCACAGTGACAGCCGCCCACAGCAAATGTCTGTGTCTTATTCTCAGTCATACAGGTTATGGGAGAAGGGGTAGGCCTAAGGCAAAGTTATCAAGCTACTTGAAGTACACCTAGCAAGTCAAACTGCCTCTGAACACTACTACTTAATCAAGGCAAGAACTAATTTGAACTGTTTGGGATTGTTAGGTTGAGTTGGGTAAAATAGTAATGTCAGAGCTGAGACAAATAGTTGATTGAAAATTAATGTGCAACTATTTTAATACTCAATTTATTAGCTTCTAAAAATGTAATGCTTTTCTGCTTTTCTTTGTCACTTTAATATGACAATATACTATTAAACTTCCATTGAAAGCCTAGTCCTAATTAAACGCCCAGTCCCTTTCACTAGCCTGGTATAGCCACACATTTTGACAAATAAAGGCCTGTCTCAATCAGAAGCCTGGTCTGTTGCCAAGCAGTTCACTTTTATAGAAGTTCTTTGGATATATAAAACCGGCTCGTTGACTATCCACCTGAGCTAACGTTAGTGAGCTGTTTAGATCGCACATACAAATATAAATGTTTGTCATTGTGAAGATGCCACACATCATTAGCTCAGTTGATTTCATTTTACTGAAACCATAGGCACCAGAGAAAACCCGAAGTCACTCAGATTTACCAGCATGGTGACAAAACAAGTGGTCACTCCCTGTCCTAAAGTCAGACTATGTGTCTATTCCTCATAACTCAGTCTGTAAGGGTGCACTGATCAAAATAATCAAAGGTGTTTTCATAAAAATTAATCCAAGTTATGAATGTTGTTTTAACAGGATAAAGTGGTGTTATCCTCGGGGGCTGTGAAACAGGTGTCATAACATAACACATAACTGATATGTTATTTGAAGTCTAAGCTTTATACAAGTAATATTCATACTGGTTTAAATAAACAATTTGATCATATTTCCCATCTTTGCTGAGCAACAGTTTTGTTTAAAATATATTAAAGGCCTGTCCCATGTAGACGCCTGTCCCAGATATAGGCCTGTTGAGTTCAGTGATTTAAGCAAATAGTAGCCCGGCTACTAATTAAAGTTTTACGGTATAAAAGCAAACTACACATTATTAGATAGTATATCAGGGTTGGATAAAACAAGGAATGTTAAGATGTCACCTCAGGTTGTGGTATAAGTAATGGGCATTTTGCAATTTTTTGACCCTTTAAAGACTAAATCATTAATCAAAAAAATAATTGTGTGAGTAATTGATAACAAAAATAAGTGTTAGTTGGCATCTCTAAGTATTTTAAGTCATTTTAATTAAGCAATTAAGCATGTATAGGAGAACTATGGTGGCTGATGTGAAAACCCAGATGGCCCTGTCTACAGCCAGTGTTTGATTTGTCCATTCTGGCCATGTTGTTTCTACCGTAACCCATGTGTAGATATAAACTATATATATATATATATATATATATATATATATATAGTTATGAATGTTTTATACCATTTCTGCCAATAGGTGCCTCTTAATCTTACACATTGGACTTTAACCGATAAGAGGGCAATAACCTATGTGGCATGTCCTGGATTTAGTGAGAATCACTAACCCCCTGGCTAGAAACAGTCAAATGTAAAGATTCTGTGTTGCCAAGTGGTGCTGGTTTGATTCCCCATGCAACAATTAGTGTACACATATGCATCTTAAATAGGACATTTACTAAACTATCACTTGCTAAGAAACCCACAACTACCCATGTAATTTATCTAACAAAAATGGTGTATGGGGGGAATCAGTGTATTTTCCCCAGAGGAATGTTGTAGGTCATGCTTGCTTTGGTTGCCATGTGGGTCATGTTATTAAAACAGTTTACCTGAATAGTACTAATTAAAGTGCATGTGAATATTATCTAATTCAGCATTAGTTTCCTTTTGGATGCACATTCATTTCAAGCTGAAAATGTTCACACAGTTTATACACTTTGAACCTAAGTGCACAAGATTCAAGAGGCATTGTTCCTTTATTATAAAGTTTTGGTGCTAAGTGTAACGTTTAATACGTCAGTGTATCATGTAATCAATGAAACAGTTCAAATCAATATCAGTATATTTTTAGACATGAGAATTCTGTAAAAGATTTCCTTTTGCAACCTTTTAAAAACAAGCACGAACAACTTGTCCTCCACTCTTTGTTTTCCCCTCTCAAGGTCAGACACCACCCCGCTGCTAAACAACTCCACCCAAGACAGGATGTTTGACACCATGTCAGTGGAGATTGAACAGCTGCTGGCCAAGGTAAGTAAATTCTCATGGGCCAGTGGCCCGTGAAAGGCCAACAAAAAGACTGTAATAAGAACAGCACTGGATTTATGCCGTGGGTCTTGTCTTTCATCAAGGAAAGAGCCGACTGCAGACTTTAATTCTTCACATGGTTTGCACTGGACCCCAGGGTGCTTTAATGCATTTGACTTAGTTCAACTTAAAGATTTAAAGTTACAATCTCGAAGATCTTTGTTTTATTCTCTTTGGTGGCAGCTATGGTGATAAGCCTTAATTGCAGATGTATTTTTGGATCCCATTTTCCACAGATCCAAAGAGTGTCACATGTATGCTTTCTTTTGAATGTCAAATTTGTTTCTTTTTCTGTGGATTTGCACTTGTTTTTTAAGGTTTCATCGTCTAGTCATCTCCTTGCTGTTTTTTTGTTCGGCCAAAGTAATCGTTAACTCAAAACATTAGCAGAGCGCCGCTTCACACACAGGTGAATTGAAGAGCAAGTCTGTTGCTGTAGCTCCGCCTGCCCTCTCTGACAGACCGATCACTGCTGGGTGATGGAAAACGTGTCACTTACTGTATGCTGCTTGTGCATTTTCCCCGGGGATGTCATCCCAGACACCCACTTTGTAATACTGCAAATGCAAAGGCTTTCATCACTAGGCTTAATCACCACTGTGTTAATTCACTTGGTGACAGATAGTGACTTGCCAGACATGTATGTTGCATCATTTGGTTATATGAAAAACACCCCTTTGATATAAAGTGTTCATCCTCCAATTTACACATGTTCTATGTGTGTTACCATGTTTTGCATATGCCTCATGTCATATTGGGATGCTGTGTGGGTCCTAACCTTATCTGCTGATCTCCTGGTGTCACTGACGTCTTCCATCCATCTGTCAACCCATTCATTTTCCATCTCTTTCAGCTGACTGCAGTGAATGACAAGATGGCGGAATACACCAACGCCCCGAGTACCGCTTCTCTCAATGCTGCGCTCATGCACACGCTCCAGAGACACAGAGATATCCTACAGGTTTGCTTCTCATTTTCCATATTAGTTTTCCTTTCTTCTTCTTGGTTATGTTTTCTATACTTTTTATGTATTCCACTCTACAAACTATTTTATGGAGCACACATGCCTCACCGTTTCCAATTTTTCCTTCTCTGTGTTCACCGTTCGTTCTGCCTCCACGCCTTCTTCATTCTCACTTTGATTTGTTTTCCACGCAGGATTACACACATGAATTCCACAAGACCAAAGGCAACTTCTTGGCCATCCGAGAAAGGGAAGACCTGCTGGGGTCCGTCAGGAAAGACATTGAGTGAGTACCCTGTCACACCACCTTTTAATTCATTTGACCGTACAGCTAATACACCAGCATGTGTCCACAGTTATGGGAATGTGGGCTCTGTAGTTTATTGCTCACACTCTAAATGCAATTTCATCGCACAGCACTATTGATAACTCATTAAATGTATTGACTGGTGAAGGTGTTCAAAGTCAACACACATACTGTCTCGCTCACATAAAACTGGTGCTGGCATTGCATACAAAACAAATAATATTGTCATGTGATGCATCGCTTGTGTTTGGTCTTAGCGGCTGTGCAGGAATAAAAACTGCCAAGCATTATTCACAGTGCCTCTAAGTTGTAGACCTTATATTCCTTAGAGGGATAGTTGAACCTTGACTTCCACTTGGCACGCTCTTGAAAAATGTTGGCCATTAAAACCTAAGAAGATTTATGGTCTCTTTGGCCTTGTATTGAGAAAGTGTGTCCTCTGCTCAGATTGGCTCAGTCGTGAGTGAGTGTATTGAAATGAGATGGAGGCTCCCCCAGACCATGACTCTTTTGGTTTTCTTTTTTTTTTTTTTTTTTTTGGTAATGGCTTATTGATGTGTAAGACACAGTAGTGAGCATACGGTGAGCACTGCAGGATTCCTATTGATCCCTTTCCATCTATCTTGTATGCGGATCATCTGCAGATGCCTCATACAGTCATACCTGTTCCAAAGGCTTCACAGTCACTTTATATCATAACTCTTTCTCATTAAGCTCTCACACATTAACCCATTTAAAAGCATGGGTGTCAGTCCTCATATTACTAAATAATTAGATTTCCTTAACTCTTGGTTTTTACCAGAAAAATGTTGTATCAGTGTAATCACAGACTTTTATTGGATGTGGGGGATGTACACTGTAGGTGATTCATTGATTTTTAAACAGGTGGGATTGACTCAGTTCCTTTTATATTCTTCCTGAAGTTATGAATTAAAGTCTTAACATTATCGTAACAAGGCAGGATCCATTACATGACTGTAAAAATGATGGACGTAGCTACTGTGACGTCACCCATTGGTTCGTGGATTCCTGTTTTTAAGCCTCGAGTATGGCAATTCAGCTGTTGCCATCTTGATTTTTTTGGAGCCAGGAGTGACCATATTTGGGCAATAGGTTGGAGCTGTAGATGAGTGGGTCTGACTGAGACCGAGGACTAGGGCTGACCTTCGACTTCATTTTGGAAAGTTGAAGCTTTGGAGCTCAGAACGATTTTAAATCGAAGCCTTCAATGACCGGGGTGGGTGAGTGAAAAATAAGTCCAAAAAAGTTAATAACTTAAAAATTATGGTGAAAAGGTAGTTTCTTGCAACCCTAGAATAAAGATAAAAATATTCACAGACGAAAAAACAATTGTGGTTACTGATAAGTAGTGTTTAACTTTTGATTTAACACTAAAAATTAAAACCCTTGGCGCGCACTGCAGCGCAAGCAGACAGGTGCGCGACTGAGAGTAGCATGTGTCACTGACACCAGACTCGGAGCACAGCGGACAGGTGGAAAATGTCACCATCAGCATCAATAAAATCTATTTTATCATTATTTTGAGTCACATTGTTGAAAGAATTTAGTCGTCTGTGTTCAAGCAGGATAATAGGTCTCCATTCATTGCACGTCGGGTTTTCTATTTCTTTTCTTTTCTTTTTTAATTACATGATAGCTATTCTCCCTTAACTCACAAGTAAAGAATACCTTTGTCCACTTCAAATAACCCGTGGCAATGATAATATCCCTGTTCTCTGATTTACTGTGAAACTTTTTTAGGCAATTCATGCAACAATCAGACCAGATGACTTCTTTACTCGGCCTAATGGGGTTAATGTTGCGTTCAAGGTCCCCCAAAAAAACGGAAGGGAAAAAAAGGCAGAATATTCCTTTTTTTTTTTTGAATCCAGTGCCATCCAACGAAGGTTTGAAGCTTCGAATTTTTTTTTTTTTTTTGTTAAAGATATTTTTTGGGCGTTTTAGCCTTTAATTGATAGGACAACTGAAGCGTGAAGGGGGGAGAGAGAGGGAAGGGCATGCAGCAAAGGGCCACAGGCTGGAGCCGAACCCGGGCCACTGCGGCAACAGCCCTGCACATGGGGCGCCCACTCCACCACCAAGCCACCGACGCCCTGAAGCTTCCAATTTTTGGGTCAGCCCTACCGAGGACACTGTCATTAGACAGCTGGTCACTCTAAGCGGCCCACCCTTGCATATGTGTAACCTTATGCCTTAATAAAATGTGGATGAGTGAGTTATAAAAAAGAATTCACCCCTGTATATGTCATGAATGTTAAAACTAGCAATAGCAACCAAAACTGTTCTTTGTACCAGGCTGTATTTATTTCTGCTGTAAGGTTGGGCATTTTAACATGGGGGTCTATGGGTATTTACTGGCTTCTGGAGCCAGCTTCAAGTGAATGTTCACAGAACTGCATTTTTTGTGCACTTGCATTTTTGCTTAAGTATGAGAGTGTGAAAAGACCAGTCAAGTCTTTTCACACACTGAGGAAGACACTTGTCGAAACCGGTCTGTGTGTTTAACCGTCTGTACCAGTGAGGTATTAAAACTTGCCAACGAATGACACCGAGTGTTGCTGGCTTTTTCTTGTTTATACTGTTGTTCTGTTGCCGAGCACCTCCAGACTTTTTTCTTCTTTTTTGAGAGTGCATGTTGTCTTTCTTCATTGCTTAAGTATTCAGCCCTGGAGGTTGCTGCTTGGTCTGGGACAGTGGGTTTTCACCTGATTTCAAATAAACACAGTCTTGACTTTCAGAATATTAAAACCTTTAAAAACCCACTGGTTAGCCGCTGAGCTAGTTCTACGTGGCTTAGCATCACGTCAAAATATAACTTTGAATATTTAAACTTCTGTCAATATGGACTTGCTATACATCATTAGCTTGGTTGAATTCTTCAAAAGTCAGTTGTTAAGTTCAAGTTATGGAAACCATGAGCACTAAAGTATAAATCATTCAGATTTACAGGCATGGTGGACAAGAGAGAAATAAAAAAAAGTGCTGACTCCCTGACTGGTCCTAAAGTCCAAATATTTGTCCAGTCATAAATTATTCATATTCATTTAGTCCTTAAGGGTGTAGCAATCAAAATAATCAAAAGGGCCTTTCACAAAAAATGAATCTAAATTTACATATTTTCTTTTCTTCCTTTACTGTGTTGTAATTGGGTATGCTTGCTTTTGTTACCTTGTTTGCTACAAAATAAAAGTGTCCCTGAGCCTCTCTGTATTTTTCACTCCCAGACAGCCCCTAGAATACAGCATGCGCTCCCAGTTTAGAAGACCACTGGGCTCTGTCATGTATCTTTGCAGCCACATTAAAGTACTTTTTCTCAACACCATGGCTCCGTGACAGTCATTATGTTATGTGACGTGTTTTGGTATAATCACAAATCTAAGAATCTCCTCTTTCCAACACTGTTTGGGTCTGGATGTGGATGGAGAGGAATAGCGGGCTAACAAAGGGGATACTTTTTGGTCATTTTGCTAACCAGGGAGATGGCGTCGCCTTCCCCCGGTCAACTAATTTTATTCTTTTAGTTAACTTTTTTCAGACTACTTTGATCAATGCACCACCCAGCCATTATTGTTTATTGATAATTTGAAGTCACAATGTACCTGAGCAATCACATTTTAACTGTGTATCTGCTCAGTCAGTACCACCCCACAGGGTCAGCACTACATGCAACAGTTCTCTCAATCTTCTCATTAAAGCACGTTACTTAAGGAGTGCCACTGACCCTGCTAATGGGCTCAGTGCTGATGAATCTAATGCATAGAAATGAGCCAGTCTCGTTGACCCATTGCTCAGCCTAACGATGACTAATGTGCCCAGGGGCTGCTAATGAGGGAACCGTCTGATCTCACAGGTAGGGGAATTACAACCGTGGCTGCTGCGGCGCATTGCAATGAGATGTTGAGTCATGTGTTACATGAGACAGTCTCTTTCAAAGAGCTGTTTTCCCCTAACCTCCCTATCATTGACCTTTGCTGGTGGGACATGGGAAAGTGATTAAGTAGGACCGGAGAATATACGAGAGCAGTCAATCCTCGACAGCTGGGAAGCTAGCTTATTATTTTTCAAGTCTTGATCCGTTGAACTGCCTCGACTGTTATGCAGCTTGTGAGGAATAATAAAATGGTGAGCTTCACTAACACACTTTTCCTCTAATCTTATCAGAGGTGTGCACAGAGAAAATCAATGATCACAGTTTTATCCAAGTTTACTCAGTATTGCTGTCTGCAACAGTAAAGAATTGCAGTGAGAAAAGTAAAAACTACAATACCATTTCTTCCTCATCACAGAGGCGCACAACATTTTCTGATTTTATCAAACCAAATCTTGTTTTCTTCTTGGCTACAGCAGCCTAGTTCAGAAGTTGCATCACAACAAGAACCTAATGTTGTCTGTGTGAGTTTTAATAGTTACAGTTTTAAAGCTTTTTAATGTAATATAGCAGATTTAGTTGTGTCAGGAAAGCAAAACATTAAGGTCAATTCATCCTGAAACGTGTGGGCATTCGTGTCCTAGATAAAGCGATGGCTGTCTCTGCTGCAGCTGAGCCTTTTGTCCCTTTTGTCAGGTAGAGGGCAGTAGAGATCTTGGCCACAGAGTAAACCTGGCCAGGACGCTGTTAACTGTAGATTCCTATGTGTATTCGAGTTGTTTGCAGTATACACACACACACACACACACACACACACACACAAAAAAGAACCACACTGATTAAAAGAAATAGTGCACACTGACTCATTTAAGCAACCACATGAACAATATGACATTTTGTCGAAAATGTGTCAATATCTCTGAGTGTGCTTGCAGGCTTTGTCAGCAAAACATTCTCATGCGCGCACACACACAAAGCTGCACCATTCATAACTGTAGAATGGAGCATAGCTGAGCTCAGACCTAATGCTTCCTCGTCTCCTGCCTCGATTCTAAATGTCAGCAACAACAATGACAGCTCGCTTGTGATTTACACCCGTGCCCTTTTAAAAAGCCGTGCTGGAGTGATGAAGCTGGCCGTCAGCACAGGCAATTCTAGCCCCACAAAGGCATCAGCTCTGCCGGTGGGCTGGCCAGATCGGGCTCAGCCACTGTGGAGCGTGCTGTGTGTGCACTGAATATAGTACTTCCATTCAGCGGCATTGGATGGCGCACTGGGGATGAAGTAGGCACATTTGTTCTCGGGCTGCTCGCAGCGGGCTGGGTGGGGTAGGATGTTTATGGTATATGTATGTGTGTGCGTACTCTTCTGTTTCACAGTTCCCCCTCCTCCCCTGCTCTTTATCTTGTTGTCGCCCAACGGGAGGGTGGGGCTGGGTGTCAGTTGCTCAGGGATGCTGATAGCTGGAGTTGCATCAGGCAAAGGAAAATGGATGTGATGTGTTTGCTTTGTGATTAGTTACAACAACCCATCCATTAACTTTGACTGCTTTGCTACCAGATAGCCTAGTAATGGAGCATACCACTTCATTTCTGCTCCTTTATTAACCTGAGGTTGCCTGGTGCTATCAGCATGTGCATGGAATCAGTGGAGTCTTACATAGATAATAATAAGAATTGTACACAGTTCTAGACTTCCACCAACGCCGACCCATTGTCGAGGAGGAGGTCAGGCCAAGCAGCTCCTCTGGCCCTCTCCCTCTGCCGAGTATAGTGTTCTAAGCTGTGTTATGGCATGCAGAGCTGTCGCATTTTCATTGCTGCTATAGCAGTGGAGAACCAGGATGGCTCACTATATATGGCCCAGCTTTGTAACAGGATGACCATCTCTGCCCCTCCAACCTTTAGTTTGGTAGGAGCTCCTGTGTAATGTAAGGTTTTGGTTCCACTCCTACTGTGCCACCCCGTCCCTGCATTCAGCCAACCATCTCTGATCAGCTTTACTGGTGCTGTATATGTTGTGTTAAGTCACTGCTAATGCTAACCGAATATTTCCTGCTGCTGCTGCTTGCTTCACATTAAAAGCTTTCCATTGGTGAACCACAAGACGGCTTTTACTATAAAGCCGTAAATGCAGTGGTATTGGCGCCAACTGCTACACAGCTGTCCTGCTCGTGTTATTTGTCAGTGGATCAGATTAAATATTGCAATGGATTGTGATAGAATAGGTAGCCCCTGTGAGCTAGTTAGATAAAGAGCTGTAGGTCACGTGTGTTTGGTGTTTGTGCAAACCAGTAAAGCTCCGCCACACCATTGAGGTGAGCAACGTCTTGTACCGTGCTGATAGGTCCCCAATGTTGAGTGGAATGAGTGACTTCAAAGAGCTTGTGCAGACAGAGACTAATCTCATTTTGCAACTAGCAGACTCTTTTCACACTGCGGTGTTTTGGCTGTGGATGAAGAAAAGAAAAAGTGGTGGTGGTGGTGATGAAAAACTAAATGGGTTGCCATTCAGATAGCACTTTCTCTGAGTGACTGATTCCTACAGCCGCTGATATGAACAGACGAGAATCATTAGTGCCAGACAAACTGCAAAAGCTACAGCCGATGGTCGGGCTCAAGGCTGTCGACTAGTTAACTGTCACCTCGGTCTGTCAGGATCCAATCCAAAGATAGCGAGATCTGGATCTTTTTGAGGTTGTGAAAAATGCCATTCTCTCACTGTTTTCATGTGTTGTGTCGCATTACACAAATAGATTTGTGACTAGTCAAAGTGACTGTTGTTTTAACCAGTGTATCTGCATGTTCTTCTCAGGACATACAAGAGTGGTTCTGGGGTCAACAACAGAAGAACAGAGCTGTTTCTAAAGGAGCACGAGCATCTGAGAAAGTAAGTTCCCATCACCTCTCTTTGCCATACATGTGAGGTAATCGAGAATCCAACTTTTCAGTTACATTTAGAGCAAAGGTTTTTCAGGGTATTTATCAGTTAGTTTTTGGCATATCAGTCCCAGCAGTTGGAAGAGGGACATAGCTTCCACTCTCCAGAGCTGTACAGCCTTTCCTGGTGAGGCAATTGCTTCAACTTCCCAGAAATGAAGATGAGATAACTCATCTTGATGGTGCAGCCCAGTCATTTGAAATAACACCGGAAATCACTGCTGTAGCCGATGCCTGCTTTGTTAAGCTCTGGCACCCCTTGGCACTTTATCTCTTTATGCTTTTACCCTCTCGCCAATGTAGAGCCACTTTTTCATGATGTTGCATTCATTAATCTAAAGTTTGGTGTATAATTCAGGGCGTGGATTGGATGTGAGTGCTTTCCTGGCCAGTGGAGATTAAAAAAATACTTTGTGCGTTACTTAATGTTCTGTTGAAGAAAATATAGTCAGGGGCAGGGTTGGGTTTACACGTCTCCTACTCTATAACTTAACTAAGCATCTCAAAGCTGTAAAAAGTTCGGCATACCTTTCATACTGACACAGTAGGTCAAACCATGATCTGCCAGCAACCTCATTAGTGTCCTACTATCATTTGGCTGACTCTCCAGCACAGCAGAACTGCATGAGGTAGCAAAGTTTGTGAAATCTGTATGTGTGTACTTCTGTGAGAGGCACCCTGTGTGGAAGATAAAATTGGATGTCAGCAGGGCACACACACACACACACACACACACACACACACACACACACACACACACACACTCAACCAAAGTACGAGTAAAACACAGAAGAGCTTTTTACATTGCCCCGGCTTGAGAATCCCATCAGATAATTTGTAGATAGCAAATTTGAAGTAGTCTGATTGATTTTCTCTGCGGCTAAATGTTTGTTTCCTCTTTCAACCTCTCAAAGGATTAATGCCTCAATTACTCTTCATCAGAGACCTCTTAATTCATTTCAGAACAGACTGCACCTACTCTGACATGACAAGGCTAATGTTTATTTCTCAATTTATGAAATGAAAAAAGGTTTATAGAGTGACACATACACAGGGGCTAAACTTAACAACAATAACACCTTAGAAATGTAATGCGTTAATAAGATAACCCTGCAATGACGTGGCAGTGTTTGAACATTTAAAGATTTTTCATGAACACTAATGTGATTTTTCATTGCTCTATGTGTGCTCTATGTGTGCAAGGAAGTCGTTTACACTTTGGATGAAATGTACCCAATTAAATTTGGCCCAAAAAAAAGTAGCATAACAAGGGGTGACTCATCCACAGTAATGCCTTCTACACATATGGTGTGTGTGTGTGGATGTGTGGGTATACACACACATTTGTGTATACTTGTATGGCAGAGTGTTTTGTGTTTTTTGTCAGGTCTGTGAAACACTAGTAATTGTGTTCAGGCCCTTGTAAGATGTTTTTAATTTTATGGCTGGACATTGCATCAGTGTTTTCAGGTGACTCAAACGTGGCTTAGAAAATCCCTCTTAAGTACCACTTTCGTTCCTTTTATCCCTGTGGCTGTAACAGCTGCCATGCTATGTGGCAGTAACATAAGGGATCTGTAGCATATGGTGATAAAGTTGTGCAGCAAAAACTGTGACTGTGCAGCAATTGATGCTTCATGTTGTCCGTTGCTGATGGGTGGATACAACTTGTTCTAGAGTTTGTCAGAAGGGTTTTACATGGGACTCATTTTGGGGGATTTGGTCACCATATAATTTAGACTTAGTGTTCCTCCTGGTCGGTTATTGCCTGACAAATCTTGTCATGACATCAATCAATCAATCAATTTTATTTATAAAGCCCAATATTACAAATCACAATTTGCCTCACAGCTACACCTCCAACACAGCGAGTCTATCACTGCTTTGGTGCAGTTGTTACTGGGTTTCATCAGTTCAACATTTTTCTTGTCATCAGCAGTTCAGTTTACAAGTTTACAGTCAATTCGGGAGTAAGAGATCACTGGTCACATCTGTACTTTGTATTTACAGACACCCTGAGTTGAGGTTCAGGACTCAGAGGAAAGAGGTTGACCAAGGGAGTGACTTAGCTGCAGAATGCTACTTGCCTGGGTCCAGACCTTTGAATCGGCCCGCTCCAGAGTTTGAGTTGACTGTTTCTGAACAAAGTGAAACAAATTGACAGTTCTGTCTGATATCAGACAAGAATGCTACCACTTCTAGACCCCTTAAGTGAGTTTATTAATGAAGGTTAATTGCAGTAGCATTCTGTTAGTGAAGCTCAACAGAGGTTTTCTAGAGTCACATAAGCCCTTTTTAAATAGGAATTGTGCAAATTTGCAGGAAAGCCCAATCTGTTTTCGTTCAGCATTAGCAGTATAAAAACAAAACCGCCTGCCTACTTTTGTTCATACAGAATGTGCCTTTTTCGGGGCAATGGGGTGCGTGAGCAAGTAACAAAACTTGTAGCTCAACGTGTGACGTAAACAGTGACTTACTCAGAGGGAAGCCGTGGCTGGTCAGTCCTTCGGCTATTCTCTCATAAGTTGGCCCAACCTTCACCGTTGCCGTCATTTGACGGTTAATGGCTTCTTCGTTTGCGAGGGCAAGGAGGGCGCGCAATTCCTTGTCTCCCCAGTTGCTCATCTTTACTGTGTCTTTCAGGTTTGCATTCCCTTCTTGCTACTAGGTGCACATTCCTGCTATCAGCTGTTTCCTGTTAGTCCACTCCAGTGGGTTGCACGTGCGGCGTCATCAACAGCTCCTCCCACAAGTCATCAATAGCCTTTCTGTGGCGGAAGTGCGCCTCGTTCTTTTTAAACCAAAAAGTTTCCGCCAATATGTTTACCCCTAGGCAGCGGGAAAATTGGGCACCTCGGATCAACTCGCCAATCCGGCTCTGTGTGTCTAAACGCTCGCAGCTTGCCTGCAAAGCGGTCCAACATTCACCGAAAATCTGGCAGTGTAAAAGGGGCTAATGAGAGTCATTCTTACACTTGGTCATTTTCACACATGTTGTCCCCTGAAATGTTCAGGAACATTTCCTGCATGGGGTCATGTGTGAACGGGAGCAGGGATTGATATTCAAGGAAATCTGTACTGCCAGTTTTGAAACATTTCAGGTAAAGTGCCGGTACAGCTGTGTCTTGAATTAAGGCAGTAACATTTCAGGGACAAGCATGAAAAGGGTTACATCCATCTGATGAAAGACAGAGCGAGCAAACCAATCACAAGACTCTGCTGCTGAGTGGAGTGTTTGTGTGTGTGCGTAGGGAGTGTGTGGTGGAGCGAAAGAGACAGTGATGCGGTGAAAGCAGACAAGTGAGTGAGTGGAGCAGGGAAGAACGTTTTAGTGGTAAATTATCAAGCAGCAGTGAATGTACAGTAGAGTTTGCAGCTTGTGCACAAATAAATGCTGCAGGTCCTCAGGACCCAGAAGTTCCCCACGTCTTGTTATTATTATTAACACTTTTATGACTACTTTGATCTCAATATGATATTATAATATATGTTATATATAATATATATAATATAATGTTATAATGTGATTTTAATTTGATATCAATTCAGGGGTCTGTGATCGATAAGAAACGATACACTGTGCTCATTCAACACAGTTGTTCATTTTTGCTTTTGGCCATAAAATAAAACAGCACATGGGAGTTTTCTGCCATAAAGCCCTTTCTGGAACGAATCTTTTCATTTTAACCCCAAACTTTTACCTGAAATGTCAGGGCTATCTGGCTTAAAGCTCTGAAGACAAACTTCTCCCAACAGCCATAAAACACAGATTAACAACAAGATCATTTAACAAAAGTATAAAATTCAGCTCCATCATAACTGTCAAGGTTCATAGACAAAACAATTGTTTTTTTGCATGGCGTACATTATTAGTTTAAGGTCTTTTACACTGCATAACTTCGCATAGTGGCTAGCAGAATTTTTGCCCTACTCATAGTTTAGCAGATTACATGTATAATTTAACGTTTACTTTTTTTACTCACCACAGATTACAGTCACTGCATCTCCAGACAGAACAGCATAGTTGAATTTCAGCCTGCGTGCACGTTTTTTCAGCCTAACATTTTTGAAACAGAGCAGCTAATGTTGCCATAGTGAGAAGTTGAAGAAGTGACACAAGGAAGTGCTCTCATTCTGCGCAGAGGGTGAAATTCACAGTCAGCTGTCTGGAACAGTTGACGATGCTGTAGTAATTCTACATGATTCTTTGTCATTTACACATACATCCAGCTTTGCCCTATCTTCTTTTTTTGAGTTTTATAGCAGTTGGCGTCTACTGTATAAGTGTTGCATTACAACCATCTGCTGGACCGTCCTACGCCCTGTTTATTCTTGCATTGCCATGTCATGTGGGAATAGGCGGAAGACGAAAATGCTCGTGAATGTAGTGCATGTGTGAATAGTAAAAGTCACAAGCAGTGCCTGAAACGTTGGCCAAGTAATTTACTGTTAATGCTCCAAAGGGAGTTTAAGGGAGTGGCCCTGAAAAATCAGTCATCACGTTACATGTATCTGCTGTAAACTTTGTATTCTGACTTGAGAGAGGAAAGGAAGATAAGACCCTATTTTCCTGTCTTTATTCAGACTGCACTCCAAATAGCCAAAGTGAATACTGATTATGAAATAATCTTAGCAACATGAAATGAGAACATGATTGGCTGGGGACAATTGTGTTGAAGCTCCTCCGGCTTCCTGCAGCCACTTGCAATTTCCATCCTTGTGCCAATCCAGCCGAAATTGATCGGGATACTGATAATGAAATTATCTTATTAAACCACAGCCCATATTATAGGGCTTCCCCAGACCATTGACAAAGAAGGGAGGGGAAGGACTAGATTGGAGATGAGGATTGAGTTACACTTGATTGATCCTATTAGGGCCATAAAACAGGAAAGAGGGCCTTAAGAGAAAAGGACTAAAATGTGTTAGTGGCCAGAGATATGGTCTGAA